AAAAAAGTATCGGTCAATATCAAACCCTGTGAAAAGGGGAAGGCCCTTGCTGGACAAAAAACAGGTGCGACAGGTGCCACGCTCTCGTTCACAGCGACGAGCGCAACCGGCGGAAGTGGTGGAGAAACCAAAACCACTGGAACTGAAGCCTCGTGGTGGGTTGTCGTAATCGGTTCAGCAGAGCGTGGGCAGATGTGGTGGACGATGATGATCAGGCGGAGGCTTTGGTTTCTTATGCCGCTTCCTCAAGCGATTCAAGCGAGGAAGAGACCAATGCTGTGCACCGCATGCGGGAAATCCTTTTGCAAGAAAGGGATTCACAGAGAACTGCGATTCGTGGCAATGTTCCGATGGGTGGTTCTTCCGGCCCCAATGACGGGCAGAAAAAATCGGTTCACCTTGGCGAAGAACGCGACAAAGCGTCGCGGGGGGAGACCCGCCAAGAAGTGACTTCTCAAGTTTTTTCGCTACCACAACCTTCTCGTCGAACTGAACAGTCTCAAAAAAGAGCAAGGGATGGCTCAGTTATAGTTGGTTCGCTGGCGGTGGGCTCCACGGATGAGGTTTTACCTGGGCAAGGTGTTGCTGGACAGGTGAATGTATCTGAAGGCGCTCAAGTTCTTCCTGGGCAAGAAGTGGCTGGACAGGAGACGGCGCTGGAAGGAGCAGTGCAAATTCCTGGCGAGGAGACTGACCAAAACGAAGGAGAAGGTGGGAGCAATGAACTCCATGGTGATGGTGCGAAGACATTGGATGTTCGTCCGGTGAAGAATGTTCCTCAGCAATTGCTGGTTAAAGGTCTTCTGAATCGGATTTATTGGAAGGTTGCTGTCGGCAAGTTGCCTGTGGGGCACAAGGACTATCAGAAGGGATCCAATAAAATGGATCGAAACTTGGTTATTAGCATGTCATCTGAAGGTGCAAGCGAACAGGATTTGAACCTGGCATTGGAAGATGACACTGATCAGAGAATGGATGATGGTGCATTGGTGGTCATGGCATATGACCCTGGTACACTGATTCAGTCGGCGACAACTATGTGGGTTATGCGTCGTGGGTTGGCAGATCGTGCTCTCTGGTCGGCAATAGCGACTGCGGCACAGAGAATATGTGCTGAAATGGTTCAAGTGGATGAACTGAATGCCCAGTTGAATACTGGGAGACTCCTTTTTGAAAGGAGAGATCAAGGACACTACGGTGTTTTGCATCATTCGTTCCATGAAGATCCGTGCTTGCCGGTGGTGGGAAATTATCCTCTTTCGGTGATGGGTGCACTGCTTTCTCCTGGCCTGGAAAAGGAATTCAGAAATACTGAAAAGTTTGGAACTGCTATGGAGGCAATAGCCTATGATTGGAGTCGCAGTCCAGGCATGGAAGTTCATGTGGAACTTATGGCAAGGGTAGCCAATCTGGTCGCTCCATTCCTTAGACTTGGAGGCCAAGGGACAGTGGTGAATTCCGAATTTCTCTGGCAGCACGGGAGGGACCAAATGATGGAGTTCCTTCAGGCGGCGACTTGCGCTGATCAATTGGAAGTTCTCTGGAGAAGAATGGACGACGATGCTGATGAGGAAGTGGATCCTACAGGAATGGTGCTGGAGATCCCCGATCAACAAGATGCGGTACTAGATCAAGGGAACAATGAATCCCTTATTCCCATTGAAGATGCTGGAGGTGAGACACTTGGTGACACTGGAAGGGATGGCAAAGCGCCAGAAGTCTCTCCGGAAGAGGAGACATCCAGTGGGTCGTCAAGACTGGCGGGCACAAGGATTTTCTTGTGGTCAGTGTACTCTCGCGTTGCTTCCAACTTCTCTACGCAGGACCGCACTACTGGGAAGATCTTTGACAGCACAAAGGGGTATCCTGGTGAAGGACCAAACAATGGTGACAATCCTTCCTCTAAGAGGAACTTACCCTGGATCTCTGAAGACTACCTCGACGAAGTGGTGTCAAAAAAGATGGAAAGGTCTTCAGATATGGATGGGCTGGAGGGGTTTGTTCCGGGAAGTGAGGGATCGTTGGAAAAGGTAGAGGTGGAGAATGTTACTGCCTCTAAAATTCTTATGGCTCTTTGGAAAAAGGGATATAGAGCTGGGTATAGGAGGTTGTGTCGTTTGAACGTATCTGGATGCAAGGTTGGAACAATGAAGCGTCCAATCAAAAGGGTGCAGAAGATCGGCACTAGGAAAGCCTTCATGAAGAAGTTCAATGTTTTTGGATCGTCTCAGCGTGGCTCAGGAGCTGGCGGAAAACCAATCATGAAGGTGGTAGGACCAAGGCCAGGTTTTCCAGCTGTACTCCAAGCATCAAATACTGATAGCACCTGGGGTGAAGGGAGCAGTTCTCAGGCACATGGCAATGTTCATGTAGAGCAGAATCGCCCTATGGACCGGTTCGAGGCGGAGCGCTTGGAGAAGAGGAAGAAAGGCTTCTGCTATTGGTTCAGTAAGGGAAAAGATCGCTGCAAATTTGGTGAAGACTGCAAATTCATCCATTCAGAAGATGATGTGGTGCTGCATTCGTATTGGTGCAAATACTATGTGGCGGGGAGACACTGTTTCGCTGGAAAGACGTGTGCGTTCTCGCATGATGCAACTGGTGTGAGGTGCATTCAGTTTGCTCAGTCTGGGAAGTGTCGTTATGGTGACAGGTGTGTTTTTGAGCATGGTGATCCGCTGAATGAACAGAGGCCAAGGTCTCCGAGGACGCCCCCAAGGGATGGTCCAAGGAGAAGTTCTGGTGCAAAAGGTGGGGAAGAGGAGATCTCTCCTGAACAGTTCGATGATGGTGAGGAGTATTCCATGACTTATGACGATGACACCAAAATGTCGGAACTGTTGATGGAAGCGATTTCATTTCTGTCCAATGGCAAAACAGATTTGGCTCGAGCAGAGGCGGACCCATTGTTCAAACTCCTGAAGTTCAATGGAGATACTGACCAGATGGATAGAGAATGGGTTTCGTGGACCACCGATATGTTGTCCGTGCTGGAACTTCACGAAGTAGTGAAGTCGTATGAGGTTTCGCTCGAGGAGGTGGAAGAATGGGTCAATGACCTGAGGATATGGTTCGAGCGAGCCAACGTGGAAGAAGAAAAAGATCCCAAAAGGGGCAAGAAGAGGTCCCTAGAAAGGGAGTCCAGCAAAGATATTCCTGCCGAAAAGGAGGTGGTTGAGACTTCTGAGACGGAGGTTGCCGTTGAGGAGGAGGCAAAAAAGGTTAAAAAGAAGAGGAAAACTGCAGTTATCGAAGATCCTTACACTCTCCTGGTTCCAAAGCCGAAGAAGATGCCGGCGACCATTGAGAAGAGTGGATCATCATCCAATGCGGCGGTTTCTGCAGGGGAAAAAGCCTCGAAAATGCGCACAAAGTCAAACGTCGGTGGAAAGGCGAAGAAGAAGGAGAAAAGTCAGAGTCCCAAAAAGGGAGAAGTGGTGGTGGTGAAAGGTCCTGAGGAAAAGGATCGTCCTCCTGATGTGGATGCGCAAGCGTCTACAGCTGTGAATGCAGAGCTGGGTCAATCGTGCCAGGCGATTGAGGACGCAAAGAGAGAAGGATTGGTATCCTCAATTCAAAGGGGCGTACAGGATCCTGTTCTTACAGTTTCGGACCTGGAGTATATTCTGCTGCAACTTCACCTCAAGATTGCCAACAATCGGAAAAAGAAGTGATTGGATGGTATGGATGAAGGGATGGTTTTTCTCTTTCTGGAGACAGGTGCGCTGGAACAGCCAATGTGCTGACAAATGTGGTGGTTACTATTAAGGGTATGGAAATCCCTGATAGTAGAAGTCAGTAGCTTTTCGCGTAGCGAAGACCACGGTTTGTGGTGAAGAAGGCCAAGGAGTCTTCAGTGATGAGAGGATCATGGTGAAAAAAGATTCTCTATGGTTAGTGGATTTAGCCAATGTGCTATAATTTCGTCCTGGTAGACGTAAAACCATATTGTGCATTTCAAGCAGCTGGCTGCTGCCCTAATGGCAGTTTTTGGCCAAAGATCTGCACCTCCAATGTGTCCTAGGAAATCCTAGGACAGGGGGAGTGCGGAGCTGCAACTGGTATTGTAGAAAAGAGTTAGTGTTGAGAGTTGGAAGGGTTAATGAACCCGGAAAACATGTTTGGCTCAAGATGGCCGAGAGCCGTCAGCTTTTGTTGAAAAAGTACGTACGCTTGGGGTTGGGTTTAATGGGTTGGAGTAGTCCCGTCCCTTCTCCCTTATCTTGTCCCCTTAGGGTTGGGTGTTCTTGTTTCTGGTTCGATCTGGGAAATCTATATAGGCGACTGTTGAGGGTTGGTTTCTTTCCCTGTTCCCTTTCGGTTGCCCCCGTACCCTAAACCCTAAACCCTAAACCCCAAACCCTAAACCCTAAACCCTAAACCCCAAACCCCCAACCCACCCCCAAAGGCTGGAAGTGGCCCGCTGCCGGCTGCCTGGTCTGGGCGGCGGTGACGGCCTTCACGTCCTGGGTGCAGCTGGACATGCTGGACCAGGCCAGCCACTTGATGGGTTTAGGGTTTAGGGTTTAGGGTTTAGGGCTAGGTTTAGGCTCAGGGTTTAGGGTTTAGGGTTGGCACTTTGTGGGTTTAGGTTTTGGGGTTTAGGGTTTAGGGTGTAGGACTCTATGGGTTTAGGGTTTAGGGTGCGACATGTTGCTGCCAAGAGGAAGCATGTAGGGTAACGACTTCTGGACATCCCGGGCTCAGGAGTCGGAGGAGGAGGATGCATGGTACGCGCCCGAGCAGAAGTCCTGTGTGTGCTCCTGGCGGCTCCAAAGGGTTTAGGGTTTAGGGTTTTCGGGTTTAGGGTTTTAGGGTTTAGGGTTTAGGGTTGAGGGTTTAGGGTTTAGGGTTTAGGGTGAGGACTGAAATTGAACCCTTGTGTTCTGCCTCCGTCGTCGCGCCACACGCTTTGTTGCTGCTGGGGCGGGGGCATTTTTCGTTCGAGAGAGACGTTGCCTCGAGTGTAGCGTAGAGAGCTAACAGAGCTCGAGGGTGCCATGGCGACTGGCCTGGAGACGGAGGCCAAAGAGCCGGAGCAGGAGCAAGATGGCCAGCCTGGCCCACCCCCAGGCCCGCTCGAGCCCCTGAAGCACGAGTTGCAGCACCGATGGTGCTTGTGGCTCCATCAGCAAGGGGAGAAGGCGCACCAGGGGACCCAGGCATGGAACGAGAGCCAGCGGTCAGTTCACTCCTTCAAGACGGCGGAGGACTTCTGGTGCATGTACCACCACGCCTACCCGCCCTCGAAGATGGAGCACGTGGACTACTCGCTGTTCAAGCAGGGCATCACGCCGGCCTGGGAGGACGCGGCTCTCAAGAACGGAGGCAGGTGGGTCATGAAGCTAGAGAAGGTGAGGGCCCAGACTCTGGATGACCTCTGGTTGTCTGTCGAGCTCGCCCTCATCGGTGAGGCCTTTCTACCACATGGCGGCGAAGTCGTGGCAGGGGCCGTGGTCTCCATCCGGAACCGCGTCAGCAAGATCGCCCTCTGGCTTTCAACAGCCAAGGACGAGAAGAAGGCGGGAGGGGGCGGGGGCCTTTCGTGAGATCAGGGATCTTTCAAAGGGTTGTTCGCAACAAACAGCAGCGAAGGTTGCTTAAGGAACGTGCTTGAAGGGTAGCCTTGGCTGTTCGCCAGGTGATGGCACTCGGTCGCTACTACCGACAAGTCTTGGCCGGGACCCCCGGCTGCCAAGACTACATCAACAGGGAGCTGACCTTCGAGGACTTCAAGAAGGGAGGCATGACCTTCGTCCTGAGCAAGACGAACCCTGATCAGCCTGGCGTCTTTCAGTGAGCCCTCGTGCCTTGTATCAACTCACAAAGCCCTTGGGTGCACCAAAGGGCCGATGCAACGAGGTCACCTGCAAAGAAGCCAGCACGACCTTGGTGCTTCCAGCGCCAGAAAGCAAAAAGCAAAAGCCCGGGGGTTTTCCAGGTGGTTTTGGGCTTGGGGTTTGGGGCTTCCCCGAATTGGCAGGACCCTCGGAGGGTAAGTTCAAAAGAGTTCCATATCGCACATCACCTCCCTCGAGCCCCCGAAATTGCGAACCCTCAAACCCTAAACCCTCAATCCCTAAACGCTCTACCTTAGACCCTGAGCCCTTAGACCCTAAGCCCAACACTTCAATCAATGTTCTAATCAGCTGAACAAAGTAGTGGAGCAGTTCTCAGGCCATGTCGAGGTCCGGGATGCAGACGTTGGAGGTTCAGGCATTTAAATGGCTGCTCCCCCTAAGGCTTCTTTCCACGAAAGGTAACCCCCCCCCCACGCCATTTCTTGGAAACTCTCCACCTGAAGGAACTTTGGCAGTATAGAGGCCAGCAACCTCTGCAAGTTGACCATTTGAAGAGAGGTGGTCCCTGATCCGAAGCCAGTGTGCTTAGTTTGGCCAAGGCACGACTATCCCTGGCCGCTGGGCAGGAAGAGGTGCCCTCGGTTCCCTTTCTGTCCCTACGTGATTTGGGGTTCTGGTTTTTTCCGGGCTTCTATTGGCAGATCCTCTTGGGTAAGGGGCTCCTGTCTTGGGGGGGGATGAGTCACCGCGCCCCCCAAATCTACTTCGGAGCAGCCTCCGGCTTGGGAGGAGAAGCTGGCAAGTGGCCGAAGGCACGTCCCTTCAGTGCTTTGTTGGGGGCCTCCGCAGCCCTTCTGTGCACGTGGAGGTTCTTTGGGGTCATGGTTTCGGTTTCGGCGTTCGTGTTGCTTCCTTTTCGGTCTCCAGCTCGCGGGGAACCCCTGCACCGACCCAAATCACACCCTCCAGACTCTGTAATGCTTTACTGTAACTTTAGATCCTTAGCCTTTTTGGGTTTATTGGGTTTCTTAATAAGGCAGCTAAAGATTAAACTTTTAGCTACCCTGCTAAGTGCAGCCAAGCAGAAACACCCCGGTGACGTCCGTTGCAGGCGACTGGCATCACTGACGCCTTGCACGAGGGCCTTGGCCTTTGGGCATAAAGGGTGAACAGCCCAGGCCCTGAAGCCACCTACCCATCCCTACACCTTCGGACCCTAAACCCTAAACCCTAAACCCTAAACCCTAAAGCCCTGTATGCTTAAGAAGCTTCCGGGCTTCAGTGTCAGCAGCTTCGCGCAGGTGGGAGAAAAGCTCCCATCATGCGGAGCTGCCGGCTCACCAAGTCTCAGAAACAGCAGCTGCGGAACTCCTCATTAGGGTTTAGTTTAGGGTTTCGGGTTTCGGGTTTCGGGTTTAGGGTTTAGGGTTTAGGGTTTCGGGTTTAGGGTTTAGGGTTTAGGGTAGGATTCAGCCCACTTCTGGTTGCGTGGGCCTGGCGATGTGTCTACGGTTCAGATGTCCCAAGAGATTCCTGGCCACAGGTGTCAGGAGTGCTCAGCCCCAAAGCTTGGAATTCGGAAAACGGTCGTCGCCTAAACCCTGTAGCACGTGTGAGAACACTCCGCAAATGCACGGCTGCTTGCACTTAACGTGACCCTCCATCATGTTCGCGGCAGGGCGATTCAGATTCGCTGTCGAATGCCTGCAGCTCCTTTTCTCAGAAGTGCCGTCCCTGTCACACCCTCTCTTTTGCAGAGGATCCAGGGTATAAGCCATGAGTGGCCTCCTCAGCTTTCAGCCCATTTTGGGGCTTTGGGTCTTAGCGCTCTTGATTTTGCTGAAGTGAGCAAGTAAACCTCCATTGCCTTGTTGCCTCGTTGCCTCTTGCATTCTCTCAGGCCGTGCCGTTCTGCAGGTCTTTGAGGAATACCAGAAGGACCCTCTTCGCTGGTTTCAGTGAGCAATCCTCCCATGTCACCTGCATTCTTTGAGCCCACCCTTGGTGGAAGCCTTTGTGAATGGAAGGCCCGCGTCACCTTCGTCCAGACGGTTGCAGACCTCGTGGCGCCGCCTCGCTTACAGAGGGCTTCGGGTTTTGGGGGTTTGCAGGCTTTAGGGATTTGGTGCGGGCTTCTGAGCGCCTGGCGCGGGGGACCGCAGGCGACGCGCCCACAGAACATCGACGCGCTCCAGAATGCAGGCCGAGCGCTGAGAACTTGGATTCAGATGGCACGCCGAGCCCCACCCACACACATGTAGATGCTTCCGGAGCCTTACGTTGCTTTCACACCTCTAAGCCTAAACTCTCCTGAGACTCAAAACCCTAAGACTCAAGACCCGACCTTGAAGCTTGTCTCGGCGGCTCTACGTTCCGGAAGAGGCTCCGGACCCCAAAGCCGCCTTCAGGGCCGGCCCCAGAGCTCCCTCGCGAGGTACCCTAAACCCTAAACCCTAAACCCTAAACCCTAAACCCTAAACCCTAAACCCTAAACCCTAAACCCTAAACCCTAAACCCTAAACCCTAAACCCTAAACCCTAAACCCTAAACCCTAAACCCTAAACCCTAAACCCTGAACCCTGAACCCTAAACCCTGAACCCTGAACCCTGAACCCTAAACCCTAAACCCTAAACCCTAAACCCCAAACCCCAAACCCTAAACCCCAAGCCCTCTCCAGGTGTGATGGCGCTGTTGCGGCCCCTGCTCCTCGACAATGTGGCATCCATCCAGCGCCCGGCGCTGCATAAAAGAGAGAGAGAGTCCGGTTTATGTTGCCTGTTGCCTTCGAGTTCGACCCTAGACGCTAAACCCTAAACCCTAAACCCTAAACCCTAAACCCTAAACCCTAAACCCTAAACCCTAAACCCTAAACCCTGAACCCTAAACCCTAACCCCTAAACCCTAAACCCTAAACCCTAAACCCTAAACCCTAAAACGTGCCTCAGGGCCTTTGTTTTGAGGGGGTCTTCTGCAGTTTTTTTCTCAGCGATTTGGGATTTTCGGTGCCTACATAGGTTTCAGTGGCTGCAGCTTCAGGCCTGGCGGACCTAAAGTAGCACCTTGCGCAAATTGCAAAGTAGCACCTACAAGGACCCTTCTCGTTGTTTAAGTTTTGTGAGCCCCGGAAGCCCGGCTTCAAACCCGATGCGCCCTATGTACATCCCCCCAAAATCCCCCCTAATCCCCCCTGGTCCCCACAAAATCCCCCCCCCCCCCCCCGCGCTTTGGTCATCAAAAGCTCAGGCAGTCGGCAGCCCTGGCCTTGGGACGCCTGGCCAACTACAGGCCCGCCTTTTTGGGGAGGGGGGGCGGAGGGTGTTTTGCGTGGGCAGAAAGCAGCCTCTTGGGGTTCGGATTTTTTTGGGCGGTTGTCGGGCTCAGGGTTTGGATGCTGGCCTGGGTTGGGAAATTTCCCGGCCCTCCGCCCAGTGACGAGCTGGCTGAGTCCGTGGTCACTCACGAGATCCTGCCGCAGCTGGTGCAGCCTGTCTGGAGAGCTTTGGAGGAGTTCCCTAAACCCTAAACCCCTAAAATCCCAAAATCCCAAAATCCTAAAACCCTAAACCCTAAACCCTAGAACCTTTCTTCTTCGAACTGTGGAGGCATGTCAGAGCTCCAAGCAGCCCGCAAAACAAAGGAAAGCTTCCTTTGGGTAGTTGCCCCCTCGTATACCCACTTTTATAGCCCTCATGCCTTCTGTGGAAGCCTCAATCCGCTTGGGGGAGCCTGCCCTTAGCCAAAGGCATGCCCAGAAGTTCGGTTCTCTGGTGTGTTTTGGACACATGCGAAGATGAATCGACACTGCTTCCGAACTCCTTGCCGGTTACGTTGCCACAGGGCTCCTGTTCACAACTGTAGGGTAGACGGGGGAAGAAGAGTTTCATGCTGCTCAAATCTAAGAGCTCATCCGACCATCGTGTTGCAGAGCGGCAGTTGGCAGGAAGCACGTAAGCGGGGTGTGCAGTAAGAATAGCACCGATTCGCAGCTGCGCTTGCCAAGGTACTCGCTGGCTCAGCAGAACCGCTTCTACAAGAAGGCCGGATGGGCATCTCCCGTGCAGATGCTCTTTGGAGCTGAAGGCGTGTTTTCCTTTAGGTGAAGAGAAACCATTCGGCACACTTTAGAGATCTATCTGACTGCCACTAACCAGAGGCGCTTTGTCGGGGCTTGTTGTGTCTGTCGCAAATTGCATTCTTGCGTGTCTTCCGGCTGCAGCATCGTGTGGTCCGAGTGCCTCCAACGACAAAAGGCGCAGGCCATGGCACTCTTCGGGCTGCTGGGGATGTTGGCCCTGCGCCTCAGCCCAGCCGGCGCGGTGGACGCCCAGCCGTGCGCCAAAGGGAACTTCTGCCCCGAGCAGACCCGTGCCTGGGACGAGCCACAACTGCTGTGTCCAGGGTTTGTTCTGTGTGAGTCTTTCCCATCGGCAGCTCTTGGTGTTTACCAGATCTGGTCTGAATGTGTAATCTCTTCCATTCCTGTGCTGAAGGCCATCCAATACTGTGCCCAGCGGGCCACTACTGCCCGGAGGGCAGTGCGCGGCCTCTGCCTTGCCCGGCCGCCCACTTCTGCAAGGGCCAGGATGTGTCGGCCACGGTGCAGGGAACCTGGGACCCGGTGCCTTTGGCCGCAGGGTGGCAGCATACGCTGGTGGTCTCCGCGCGGGGCGGAGGCTGGGCCGCAGGGCTCAACGACCACGGTCAGCTTGGCAACGGCAGCACGTCTGCGCAACATGACATCTTCGCTCATGCGGATATCCATGGCCAGCGGGTTGTGGCCGTGGCAGCACGATTCTGTCACAAAGCTGTGATCACGGACTCCGGCGAACTGTGGACTTTGGGGTGCAACGGACATGGCCAGCTTGGGGTTGGGGATACCAGAGATCGACATGCCCCGGTTCAGGTCAGCGGCAACGGCCGGAGATTCGTGTCCGTGACTGCTGGATACCGTCACACCGCTGCAGTCACGGACTCCGGCGACTTGTGGACTTTCGGGCGGAATGCAGGCGGTCAGCTTGGGGTTGGGGAGACCGCAGATTGGCATTTACCAGCAGTCAAGGCAGCAAGAGCAGCCGTGCCAGTCGAGAAGATTGGCGAGGTGCATGTCCCGCTATGCCGGTCTCCGGCGGGCGATGTGACCAGTGAACTGGCCGAGGTCTTCCTGGCTGCGACCTGGGGCTCCAACGCTACCGTTCCACTGCGATGCGGAGCCCTGCAGCGGCAGCTTGCTGCCTTCCTAGCGGAGCAGAGTTGCGGCCTTCAGGTGGGCGCCTGGGAGGCGTCGCCATGTCCGGCAGGCTCCTTTTGTCCTGGGCCCTGCAAGGAAGTTCAATGCCCTCCGGGCTTCTTCTGTGCCATGCCCAAAACAGACCTTGCTTCCACAGCACATGTGCGCAAAACTACCGGTCAAGCCCCCCCCAAGGCACCGAGGGCTCAGAGGCGCCGGAGCCATGCGCTGCCGGCATGTGGTGCCGGGCTGGAAGCACAGGCCCTGCGTGGCATCTGCACTGCTAGACTTTGTGTGCCCAACTCACATGCCATACCACAATCATAGCAACCTGTTCTATGCGATTCGATCCAGGGGTTTGGCAACGACGACATCCGAAGACGCTTTTAACAGATTGGCTAGAAGGTGAAGACGGTTTAACAAAGCCAATTGTCCGGTGCAGTGCAAACTCCTGGGCCCATGAGCTCATAGTGTTCTGGCTACCTCCACTGCAGATCTGCAACGCAGGAGTGGCGCCAGGGTCCACCAGCAAGGAGCCGCGTGGCATGCAGGAGCCAGATTCCGGCAGCACTCAGACTGAGGTGCGTAGGGTTTAAGGTGTTTCGGGTCGGGTGGATGATGTCCTCAAGGGACTAAAGGAGGGACCCGTATAAGGGACCTTAGGGGTAATGTAGGGGCTACCTAGGTATGCAGGGACTCCTTATACCCCTGCAGGTCCAAAGCTTTAAGCAAGCACTGTAGTCTAGACGCCTAGAAAACCAAAGGAGCGCAATGTCAAGACAATTCGTTTTTGCATAAAGGAGTTGATGTAGACACATACGTTGATTTTCTTGTTGACTGAAGTTCTCACGCTCTTGGGTAGCAAGCAGAAATGACAAATAGCATCTTTGAACACACTGCAGGCCGATAAGCTGGAGCGGGTGACCAAAAAGCTGCAAGACATCGAGGCTTTACTCGAGAAATTGCAGTCTCAGAACGCGAAGTTGGAGCAGCAGCTGCAGCAAGTGGCATTGCAGGGTGAGGTGACCAAGAAGCTGCAAGGCCTCGAGGCTTCATTCGAGGCCTTGCAGTCGCAGAACGCGAAGTTGGGGCAGCAGGAGCAGCAGCTGCAGCAATCGGCGGCAGAAGTTGGTACGGCGGTCTCCGGCACGTGGCCTGGTGATGCCTTGCTCTCTACCACGGCTGTGTCAGTGTTGTGTGGTGCGCTGTGGCTTTTGTGGGAACGTGGATGCGAAAGCGAGGTGGTCCGATAGCTTTGAGCATGTAGAGGCTCCGAGCGTGGGAGCTGGTGAGCCGTAGCGTAGGACCCTGCACGTGGAAGGATCGTCTTTCATGAATTGAATTCGCTAGACGTCTTTGGCACAGATGTTCGCGCCCAGATGAAGCGCCTGAGCCTTCGTCCTGGAACGGTTGGAGCGGGCATGGCACCCGTGGCACCACCTCGGTGTATGAACGGCTTAGGAAACAGAACGGAGTGATGGGGCCCCCAACAGTTGTGAAAAGGGTCTGCAGTCTGCAGTCTTCAAGTCTTGTTGACCTGTTTGTTGATGAGCTACCTTCTTGGAGCCGGGAGAGTTGCTGCTGAGCCTGGTAAAACTCCAGAAAAGAAAACACAGCCCCTCCCTGCACGATTGTGAGGCCGCTGCGTTCGTCCTGCGTGCCGTGTCGAAGCACTCGCCACAACTGGCGCAGGCCTGTGTTGGGCCATGCCGCATCGGATGCCTGCAGATACCGTACCTCTTACAACCCCCCAACCCTATAACCCCTGCTTGCCATCAGACCCCGAGCTTCCGCAGTCTCAACCCTGAGCCCAAGGAGCCCATAAAACCCATATGAGCCCATATGAGCCCATAAGAAGCCAGAAGAGCCCAGAAGAGCCCAGAAGAGCCCAGAAGAACCCACAAGACCCCATCAAAAAACCCCAAACTCCCAGCTGCAAACATGGACCCGCACCCGAAACCCTAAACCTTAAACCCCAAACCCTAATGCTCTTGCTCTTGAGGCCGTGGTCGACTCTGGCGCCCTTGAGGCCCTGGTCAATTGCTTGGAGGAGTTCGACCCGTCCGTCAAGGCCTGCAGTTTCCTTCTAGTTGCTTAAGAACCCCCCCCCTAAAACAAAAGGCAAAAAGATAACAATCCCCTCTAGTGCCCCTTTTGCCCTTCAATAGGGAAGAATATTTGTCTGAAGCAAATCAGTAGTTTAGGGTTGCGAGGTTTTGGGGGCGAAGTTTTTGCTTCTTGATGGCCCCATAGGAGCAGCTAAGTGTCTACAAGCCTCGAGTTGAGAACGTCCTAACCAGGTTCCAAAGCCCTAAGCCCTGAACCCTCAACCCTCAACCCTCAACCCTCAACCCTCAACCCTCAACCCTCAACCCTCAACCCTCAACCCTCAACCCTCAACCCTCAACCCTCAACCCCACACCCCAAACCCTAATGAGAGATGGCTCGGGGGGTTTCGGAGACCTCCGGTCAGCCGTACAGTCCTTTGTAGGTGCATGGGTAGTTGTGAGTAGGGTGGTTGTGAGTATGGTAACTATACCTCTAGCCCCATTTAGGGTGCTTACAACCCTACACCCATGAACCCTAAACCCTAAACCCTAAACCCTAAACCTTAAACCCTAAACCCTAAACCCTAAACCCTGAACCCTGAACCCTGAACCCTGAACCCTGAACCCCAAACCCTACACCCTACACGCTAAACCCTAAACCCCAAACCCTAAACCCCAAACCCCAAACCCTAAACTTAAACCCCCCAAGTAAGTCCCTTCTTCTGTGCTGGTGCGGAAGCTCAGGAAGCGGCTGCATGGGCTTTGGGCTACATTGCAAGGCCGCATTTCCTCGGTTTGGGTGGGTGGTTTGGGGTTTGGGGTTTAGGGTTTAGGGTCAGGGGTTTAGGGTTCAAAGGGTTCAGGGTTCAGGGTTTAGGGGTTTAGGGTTCAGGGTTTAGGGTTAAGGGGTAGGGTTCAGGGTTTAGGGGTTTAGCGGTTTTAAGGGTTTAGGGTTCAGGGCTCAGGGGTTTAGGGTTTAGGGGTTGTGGGGTTTGGGGGTTCAGGGTTGGTACAGGGTTTTGTGTTTAGTGTTGAGGGTTTAGGGTTTTTTTCATGGTCCGCTGTTCACGTTTTGCGTTCTTCTGATCAGGAGTCATGCCTTCACTTAAACCCCAACAGTCCCAACACCCTCTAAAGTCCTAAGCCGCAAGCGGTATAGGGGTTTTCTTGGAGGGTTTCTGGAGGGGGCTTTGGGAGTCGGCCTTATTCCGAAGTGAGGGTTCGAACCCTCAAAACCCTCAACACTGACGCCCTCAAGCCGGTCTTCCGAGATCCCCCGGTGAGACCTCCCCGTCTTTTCGCCAGGCACACCAAGGAGTTGGCGCAAACGGTGGTGGACGCAGGTCCACCTGTTGAGGGTTTGGAGGGTTCAGGGCTCTCCGAGCCTCAGGGTTTCGGAGGGTTGGGGAACAGTATGATGATGTTTGGCAGGCCACCAGGCCAAGCAGGTTTTGTGTTTAGTTTCGGGTGTGAGTCGCAGAGTGGCTTTGTGCTCATAGCGAAGGCGTGACCTTTCTGTCTCGTTTGCTTGCTCGCTCGTTCTCATTTTGATTGTTCACCCTCCCTCTCATTCATTCATGTACTCGTATCTTTCTTTCTTTTATCTCTCCTTCTCTTCTCTTTCTTCGCTTTTCACGCCAGGTGCTGTAACGGCCAGATGGATCCGCATTCCGAATCAACATGTTCTCCATGCGTTCCGCTGCTCCACGTGGCTCACAGGTGGCGGGCAAGCTCCCACTCCCTAGTTCCCCTCATGCCCCCCCCCCCCCATAGCCAAATTCTGACTCAGGCTGTGCTAGGATGTTTCTGATACTTACGGGTACCTTACTTAGGGGGTTGCTAGAGCAAGGGCTTCTGCATTTTGGGGTGCAGAAGGGGTACGCTTATGTAAGGGAAGTTCAGGAAGGCACTGAGGAGACCTCTCTAGAGGAAAGGGCTTGCAGGGGATTCACTCCTACCACGCAGGCCCCCCACACACACCTCCGAGCGATACCGAGTGATCAGCTTGATCTTTGGAAAGGTCTATGGCCCCAATATATCATGATACGCAAAACTATGCCAAACGCCATGCTTCGATTTGTAGGGCCCCATACCAGAGGGAGCCGTTCCCAACGACTGGGTTTGTCTCGAGTACCGGAGCCATGGTGGACATAGACCTGTCCGAGGAGGATCTCAAGGCGACCATCCAGCTGAAGCAGTTGATTGTTTGGATTTGGGCGTTTGGGGTTCAGGGTTTCGGCTTCGGGTCCAGCGATTCAGGGCTTAGGGTTCAATCTTAAAGTTCAGGGTTCTGACGAGCTTTCACGGGCACGCCCGGGTACGCCATCTGCTGCACTCGCGGCCGCCGTGTCTATAAGAGGTCTCCAACTCCTGCCCTTAGCCCAGTAGCCCGACGTGTACAAAAAAGGTGGCTCAACAGCTCTACAAGAAGCTTCCAGGATGCCAAGCCACCTAACCCGATCCGAGTCCTGAAGCCCCGAACTCTAAATTCGGAAGCGAAACCAGGTGGCCCCAAGCCCCACACTCCTTCCGTCACATCACTAAGCCAGCTCGCCCTAAGACCCTCAGCCCATGAGCCCGATAAACCCTAAACCCCTAACCTCCCAAACCCCTATAAGCCCCGTAAACCCTAAACCCAAAAACCTAAACCCTAAGCCCCTAAACCCCTAAACCCCTGAACCCCTAAACCCCTAAACCCCTAAACCCCTGAACCCCTGAACCCTAAACCCTAAACCCCTAAACCCTAAACCCGACCCAAAACCAGGCGGCCCTGGGCCGGCGTATCGCCGAGCAGGGGTGGCCCCTCCCCGGCACGGCTGCGGGCCTCAATGGGGTAGGGTTTAGGGTTTAGGGTTTAGGGTTTAGGGTTTAGGGTTTAGGGTTTAGGGTTTAGGGTTTAGGGTTTAGGGTTTAGGGAATAGGGTTTAGGGTTTAGGGAATAGGGTTTAGGGTTTAGGGAATAGGGTTCAGGGTTCAGGGGTTTAGGGGTTTAGGGGTTTAGGGGTTTAGGGGTTTAGGGGTTTAGGGTTTAGGGAATAGGGTTTAGGGTTTAGGGAATAGGGTTTAGGGTTCAGGGTTTAGGGGTTTAGGGGTTTAGGGGTTTAGGGATTTAGGGGTTTAGGGGTTTAGGGTTAGGGGGTTCGGTGCTTTTGTTCCCCTTCATCAGACCTTTTCGGTTTGCCAGCTTCCAGTTTAGGTTTCGGGTTCTAGGGCTCAGGGTTTCGGGCTCCTGGTTGAGGGTTTCGGGTTTCTGGGTAAGGGTTTGGGGTTTCTAGGGTCTAGGGTTCAGGGCTTGAATTTGGGGAGTTTCCTGGGGCGTGCGTGGTTCAAGTGTGGGTCTGGCTCGTGGCTCTGGCCTGGGAAGTCAAGCACCCGTGACTCACATCCCAGAAGTGATCTCCATCCATCAGAATTTGGACCAACCCCAAACATCCCGAAGACCTGAACCTCTAAGCAGTCGAAACCCCCTAAGCCCTAGGCCGTATCCCTTGACACCCTGCAACCCTAAGCCCCGGAGCCCCCATAAGGATCCTTCAAAGCCATAAAGAACGCCGAGGTCCTCACGCTGGCGGCAGATTGGGATGGGCCCAACATCCTGGGCAGCGAGGAGTTCCTGAGCCTGAAGGCCCCCCCCTGCTTTTCGGGCTATACGAACTCGACATCCCGACCCCCCACCCCCCTCTCCCCGAATCCGCCCATCTTTCGGTGCAAGCGCGTGAATCCCAGCCCGCCAACGCCTCGACGCCCCAAAGCCTGCTTACACTGAAGGCCCTTAAAACTGAAGGCCCTGAACCAAGTTGGCATCCCTGCGTCCTGAGGCTGGCGAACAAGTGAAAGTCAATGCTGGCGGCTTAGGTTCAGGGGTCAGAGTTTGGTATTAGGAAAGTTGGGGATTTAGGGGCTAGGGGTTTAAGGTTTCTGGTACGAGAGTAGTCGTTGACCCTTCCGGTGCTTCGAGTCGGAAGTTCAAAGCATCTACTGCGGGGGTTTAGGGTTCAGGGAGTTCAGGGTTCAGAGCTGCCATTCCAAGGGGGTTGAGGGTAGGAGAACTTGGCTTGAGGGTTTTACGATTGGGGGCTGATTTTGCCTTCATCTGAGGAATTGTCCCCTGGCGGCGCCTTTCTTCACGGCTCGGCAGCGGCCCCAGCAAAGCCAGACTCCCCCCTGACCCCTTAAACCTCAACCCGAGCCTCCTCAAGCCGGAGCTTGAACCTCAAACCATGAGCCCTAAACCCGCTTATACACCCTTAAGCCCTATAAACCCTATACAACCCAATGCAAACCTAAAAAGCCCCCGTAATGTAAGAGCCCGAACCGAAACCTCCCCCCCCCCCACCAAAGTCCAGATCGAGGTGGTCGGCGCTCGCAGCCTGACTCGGTCAGGATGGTTTGGCGGCCCTGGCTGCGAGGCCAAGATTTTGGGGGAGGTTTAGCAGTCAGTCTTAAGGTTTAGGGTTGTTTTGGGGTTCTTATGGAAAACGATGCGGATGCTATATGGTCCATGCTGGTTGCCAGGTTGCCTTCTCCTCAAGGTTTGCGTGAGCTAGCCTTCACATGCTTGTGAGCACTCTAGGGGGCTGAATAGTTTGGGGCCTTAGTGGCATGGGTTGCGACAGTTCGAGAATCCCGAGCCCACCGTGCCTCCGAAGGCTGTGAAGTCGGTGTCCATCGGAGTTCCCCTGGGCAACGGCTCCGATGAGGAACTGCCCCTGAGGGGAGGAGGCCTGCCGAGTGGTAGGGTTTGGGGTCTAGGGTTTGGGGTTTAGGGTTCAGGGTTTAGGGTCGCTAACAACCCCTGAGGGGAGGAGGCCTGCTGAGTCGGGAGCAGATGTTCAGTATCAGGGGATCGATCTTGCAGAGTCTAGAGGGAACAGAGGGGCCCTAGAAAGCCTAAACCCTAAACCCTAAACCCCTAAACCCTAAACCCTAAACCCTAAACCCTAAACCCTAAACCCTAAACCCTAAACCCTAAACCCTAAACCCTAGACCCTAGACCCTAACCCCTAAACCCTAAACCCTAAACCCCACCCCTAACCCCTAACCCCTAAACCCTAAACCCTAAAAACTAAAAACCCCAAACCCTAAACCCTAAACCCTAAAAACCCCAAACCCTAAACCCTTAACCCCTAACCCTTAACCCCTAACCCCTAAACCCTAAACCCTAAACCCTAAACCCTAAACCCTAAACCCTAAACCCCAAACCCCAAACCCCAAACCCTACACTCAATTAACCCTAAACCCTAAGCCCCCCTAAAGCCGTCTGCCCTTGGCCAGGCAAGGCCGGCTCAGGCGGCGGCTTCAACGGGCAGTCCGGCTCTCTTCAAGATGAGGTCGAGGCGACCACACCTCAGCTCTAGACCCTAAACCCTAAACCCTAAACCCTAAACCCTAAACCCTAAACCCTAAACCCTAAACCCTAAACCCTAAACCCTAAAGGGGAGCTACTTGTTGGATCCTCCCAGGGGGGGTCTGGGTCTGAACAGGCCTACGTGGAGCGGAACTGCGTGGACGTCCCAGCTGCCACGCGACTCAGGGAGTTGCCACCGGAGCTGCAGGTGCCAGGGGTAGGGTTGAGGGTTTAGGGTTTAGGGTTTAGGGTTTAGGGTTTAGGGTTTAGGGTTTAGGGTTTAGGGTTTAGGGCTTTATGGTTGAGCGTTGAGGGTTTAGAGTTTAGGGTTTGGGTTTTGGGGTTTCGGGATGTAGGATTCGGCGATGTAGGGGTTGCGGAGTGTGGGATTTGGGTATTGAGGGATTTAGGCGTCAAGGATTTAGGGTTAGGGATTGATGTGTTAGGGGTGTAGTGTGTAGGCTTTAGGCTTCAGGACGCTGACCTTTACTACCCCTCGTTGGGGTTGAGGGTTTTGGGCTTCAAGGCACCCCTTACTGGGGGGATGGGGGGGGGCAGGGGGCGGGTTTGGTCATGGCCAATATTCAACTTGAACAAGCCCAGGCCATCTTGTAAACTGATCGGTAGACATCTTCCAATTTCAACACATGTATCTTCCGTCAACCGCCAACACCCCCGAGCCCAAGGATCATCCCGAAACCCTTAACCCTACACCCTAAACCCTAAACCCTAGACCCTAGACCCTGAACCCTAAACCCCGAAGCCCCCAAACCCCCAAGCCCCGGACCCAAAACCCTAAACCCTAAGCCCTGGGCCCTAAGCCCTCAGCCCTGAGCCCTAAGCCCCATATCAGTCTCAGCCTCACCTGCTTTGAGGCAGAGCTCATTAAATCCGACATGACGAAGAGCATCCGCAACCCGTCTGCGGCGGGGGCCCTAGGATTCACCCCTGCCCCCCTAAACCCGCAGGTTTAGGGTTTCAGGGCTTTAGGGTTTGGGTGTTTGGGTTTAGAAATTTGTTTTTTTTGCGGGTTTAGGGTTTCCGGGTGTTGAGGGCATTTTGGGGTCTAGGGGGAGGTGAAGGCCTTTGTGGCAGAGTCCGATGGGATGTCGGCCAGGCGTTGCTGAGTCGCATCAATCACCTCGTGAAGGCCGGCGGGAAGGGTCCCCAAGGGCTCCAGGTTCAGCGTTTGGGGCTTAGGGGTTTAGGGTGTAGGGTTCAGGGGTTTAGGGTTTAGGGTGCAAAGTTTGGGGTTTAGGGAATTTGGGTTTTGGGGGTTTAGGGGTTTGGGGGTTCAGGGCATAGACGCTGAACCCTAAGGAGCAGGCATGGACATTGGACAGAGCAGAACAGAACATCCCAAACCTACAATCCTCGTCTCCCCGAGTCTCGACATTCTGCCCAAAACTCTCGACAACCTTGAACCAAAGCCATGATGAGACACTAAAGTCTCACATCTCTGCGGCCCGAAAACCATGAACCCCCAAAAGAACCCGGGACTAACCCTTGCAATCCCCTAGACCCTCTAAACCCTGTAGACCTAAACCCTAAACCTTAAAGCCTACACCCTCAACCCCAAGTCCCAAATCTTGCGCTAAGGCTCCAAAACGCCTTGAACCCTAAACCCTAAACCCTAAACCCTAAACCCTAAACCCTAAACCCTAAACGCTAAACCCTAAACCCTAAACTCTGAACAGCTTGGAGACCAGGAGGCGCAGTTCAACGAGCCTCCACCACAGGTCGTGTCCCGGGCCGAGGCGCGGGTCTTGTTTTGCTTTGTGTTGTTTTGTGTTGTTTTGTGTTGTTTTGTGTTGTTTTGTGTTGTTTTGTGTTGTTTTGTGTTGTTTTGTGTTGTTTGTTCTTTGTGTTTCTTGATGTTTTGTGGTTAAAGTTGTTTCACGCCAGCTTGCGGAGGTTTTTAACGCATTGGCAAGGTTTTGAGGGCTTTTGAGTTTCTTACTTTAGGTTCTGTCTAGTGATTGCAGGTTGCTTAGGGTTGCTTAAGGGATTGTAAAGCATGTCTTCGCAGTTTAGGGTTTAGGGTTTAGGGTTTAGGGTTTAGGGCATACATGGTGAGCAAGGCTTTGTGGGGGATTGGGGCTTCAGGAGGTTTAGTTGTTTTTGGGGATGTCGATTCTGCTTTTTTGGGGCCTAGCAGGTTCAGGGGCTTCATTGACTGCATTTTGGGATGATCCCCCCCAAGATGAACAGTCCTTAGTAGGGATTTTTGTACCCCCCAGAATAATCCCCATTCAGGATGGCTAGTATGACGGGGAACATCCCAGATTGCATTGAACAACTTGCAGAGGCCGCAGAGAAAAGCCCTAAACCCTAAACCCTAAACCCCAAACCCTAAGCCCTAAACCGTAAACCCTAAACCCTAAACCCTAGACCCTAGACCCTAAACCCTAAACCCTAAACCCTAAACCCTAAACCCTAAACCCTAAACCCTAAACCCCCCTTGAACCCCCCTCCCTTACGGACCCTATAAGAGAAGCGTACGGGGGCAATCCGCAGTGAAACAAAGCACCCAGAGCCGCAGGTCCCAGTCATCCGTGGCAGCGCCGGTCTGAGGCGCCTTTCTCCCGCGCGTGAGTCTTAGGTCTGGGGTTTGGGTTTTGGGTTTAGGGTTTAGGGTTTAGGGTTTAGGGTTTAGGGTTTAGGGTTTAGGGTTTAGGGTTCAGGGTCTAGGGTCTAGGGTTTAGGGCTTAGGGCTTAGGGTTTGGGGTTTGGGGTTTGGGGTTTCGGGTCTGTCGAGAGTGCCCAAAGTCATAGGTCCACGCTTGCTCAAGCGCTGGCGCCGCAATGCCGTTTCCACTCCGCACCCAAGCGGCCCCGAAACCCTAAACCGCTAAACCCTAAACCCTAAACCCTAAACCCTAAACCCTAAACCCTAAACCCTAAACCCTAAACCCTAAACCCTAAACCCTAAACCCATGAACCGCAAGAGCCCGCCCGAACCCCGGCAGCATGAAGGACTCAGCCTGTCGAGCGAAGCCGCAGCCCGCCACGGATGAGGCGCCCGACTCCTGGTTTAGAGTTTAGGGTTTAGGGTTTAGGGTTTAGGGTTTAGGGGTTTAGGGTTTAGGGTTTAGGGGTGTAGGGGTGTAGGGTCTGAAGCCGTTGGATCCTACACCCTAAACTCATAAGCCCAGAGGGCCAGTTCTCAAAAGTGGGGTCCTTTTTTGGGGTATCCTAAATATTCGGGTCCCGCCTTGGAATAGTGACCCCAGAAGGGACCAGAATTTAGAGAAGTGACCAGATGGGAGCCCACCAACTCTTTGCCCACTTTGCTTGCCCCCCACCCGGCCCCCACCCCCAAAGCCCGAAGCCGGAAGGCTTCTTTGGGATAAGGTGCCCCAAAAGTTTAGCTGCATGCTTCGCCCTGAACTTTACATAAACCCTAAACACCACACCCTAAACCCTGAACCTCCCTAGCCCCTAAGCACGAAGCCTATCCGAGGCCCCTAAAGCTTTCGGAGATGTCACCTGCAGGGTGCTGGCATGCTATTGCATTAGAACGGTTTAGGGTTTTGGGTTTAGGGTTTAGGGTTTAGGGGTACTTGAGTCTCGCTTGTGCGTTACTCGGAGTGGCCGTATTGGAAAGTTTTGGGTTTTGGGTTTAGAGTCCCATGGTATAACCCCCAAACCCTAGCCTAACATTGTGGCCTTTGTGAGCGTGGCTGGACATTGTAAGGCTGACCCGCGCGGCCCGTATGGTATTCCGGACTCTCTTTGACTTGTCTCCCTCGCCGGACACACTTCCCGGAAGCTTTTGTGCCCTCCCAAAACCTCCAACAACACCAAAAGTCCCGCCAAGAAGCCCAAACCGCACGAAATCCACCCAAACCACAACAAAATCTAGACCTTAAAGCCCTAAACCCTAAGGCCGAAAACCCTAAACCCTATACCTCCCCAAGGCCCACCAGAATCCTCTCCAGACACCCACCCGAAGCAGGCCGAGCGTGGCCAGCCAGGCCCATACCCCCTATCAGCCAAGACTGGGAGAGGCCCGGCCGTTTGCTGAGGGTTTAGGGTTCAGGGGTTGGGGTTCAGGGTTTGGGTGTGCGGTAGTGGCCTTGTCAGATTGTTGGTTTCTTGTTGCGCTGTCGTAAAATGCTTGGGGGTTGGGTGTTGGGGTTTAGGGTTTAGGGTTTCGGGCGGTCTCAGGGGCTGGGGATTGAAGTGTCGAATGTTGGGTGTGGGATTTCAGGCATCTTTGTTTTGCTGGGTTTGGGGATTGAGGGATTGTTTCTTTGGGTTCGGGTGTGACAAGACCCTAAACCCTAAATCCTAAACCCTAAGCCCTAAACCCTAAACCTTAGGCCTCGCGGCTTCCCAATCCTGGAGCAGATGCCTGCATGAAGGGGGCCCATTTGTGTTCGGGCGTCCTTGTTCGATTTTATTCTGTTCTGTGCTGCTCTGTTCTATCCTCTTAGGGTTTAGGGTTTAGGGTTTAGGGTTTAGGGTGCCCCCCATGTTTCAGATCACCTCCGGCCCCCGGCCCTCGTTGCTTCTTGAAGCGGTCGCTCCTTCATGCTGCTGCGGGCCCTAGACCATAAATCTTACACCCTAAACCCTGAACACAAAGCCCTAAACCCTGAACCCTAAACCCTAAACCCTAAACCCTAAACCCTAAACCCCAAGCCCTAAACCCTAAACCCGGAGCTTTAGAAACTCTAAACGCCCCTCTTCGTGGGAGGCGGGCTCCTGGATGACGCAGCGCGGCGCCAGCTTGGATGAGGTGCGGGGGAGTTGGGTACGCGAGCTATGAAATCCGAAACCCTAAGCCCACGAAGGTACAGGGAAGATATGTGGGTATATACACATACACATACATATACACATTGCGCAAATGCAAGGATAAATCTACATAACTAAACAAAAAGACAAAATATTTTTATAGAAAGAAAAACCGATATCAACAAAACATAGCAGAATGTAAGCTTATGTGCAGCCCTCAGTACCTGAACATCATCAAGCATATTGTGTTAGCCTGCCTAATCCCTGAACCCTAAACCCTAAACCCTACTCTAAGCCCTAAACCCTAAAACCTAAACCCTAAACCCCAAACCCGAAACCTTAAACCCTTTACCCTAAACCCTAAGTTCAAACCCTCAACCCTAAACCCTAAATCCTAAACCCTAAACCCCAAACCCTAAACCCTAAACCCTAAACCCTAAGCCCTAAGCCCTAAGCCCTAAACCTAAACCCTAAACCCTAAACCCTAGACCCTAGACCCTAGACCCTAGACCCTAAATCCTAAGCCTCAAACCCGAAGGTCGAGAGCTTCATCTCGAGACACGGCCTCGACCTCTCTGCTGCAGAGACACTGCGAGCCGGGGCTCCTGGTGTGTTTAGGGTTTAGGGTTTGAGGTTTGGGGTTTAGGGTTTAGGGTTTGGGGTTTAGGTTAGGGTTTAAGTGCTTGGGGGTGTTGCGGTTTCAGTGCTTAGGACACCACTCCCCCCTGCCAGTCTCAGATTTTTGAAGCAGCGAGTCTACATGACATGACTGCCCTGTCAGCCTCAAAACTAGCTACATGCTGTGCTTGGACCATGTGTAGGGAGAGGTATGAGTAGCTCAATAAGCAAACGTCTGACGCAGCCTTCTTGGTGCCCACTATCGTTTAGCCACTTATGACTCTTCCCCATCTGCCGCAGGCCCTGCCCCCAGAGGAACAGGAGACCATCGCCGCTTCCCCAGCTTTATTGTGCTGCTCTCACGTTCGAAGGGGGTTTGGGCTGGGGCTTCTTGAACGCACATCGGAAGAACCTGAAGCTGTCTCATGGCAACTAATCACCAGTGGCTGGCCAGTTTCGGGACATTGCGCTGGACATAAATCTCAGGGTTTTGTTTTTATATTTTTCTTAACTGTATTTTATTTTTCTTTTTCATATTTATTGTATCATGTTTCATTTTTGAATTTCATTTTTTTGTCGGGTTTTCATCTTTTACCGGTGGGATTCTTAACAAAAAGGATCCCACAGCAAGAGGCATCCACGGCTGCCAAGGTCACAACGGACCTGACCAACGCACGGAACCCCTCTGCGGTGGTGCTCTCGCGCATCGAGAGAATTCACAAAGAGGAGGCCACGGTGGGCTTGGCTGCAGGTTGGGATGTTCCCCCTTATACTAGCAGTCCTTAATGGGGATTATGGTAGGGGGTACGATAATCCCCATGAAGGACTGTTGGTATAAGGGGGCCAAGCTTCATGTTGCACAGGGGGGTGGTAGGGTTTAGGGCCCAGGAATAGGTGACTTGTTAAATGTTGGAGTTAGAGCTTCACAATGGCAGGGCCACCGGCAGCAAGTGGAGGAATACCTGCGCCTTGGCTCCACTGTGGTGCACGACGTCGCTCCAAAACTTGCCCCAACGACTCCAGTAGCTAACTGACAGGGTATCAGCAGCCAGTCATATAAACCCTCAGCTACCCTAAGCCCTAACCCCTAAACCCTAAACCCTAAGCCCTAAGCCCTAAGCCCTAAGCCCTAAACCCTAAACCCTAAACCCTGTCCCCAACGTGGACCCCTGAGCCCTAAACGGTTACACAATGCGCACACTTGCCTCGCCCAAA